CGCGAGACAAGCAGAGGGTAGATGAGTTGAGTCATCAGGACGATAATAAAGCACAATTAGAGACAATTGTCGTGATGTCATTCGGGCCTGGTGTGTCGGTGTGTGTCGGTGGACACGACCTGGTTTGGCAATTGAGCAGGACGTGAATGGGGATAGGGTCAAAGCTCCGCCAAAAGAGGCGAAACTAGGCGTCTGAAGATGTTCTTGCAGAAGCCAACCCCAAAACCGGTGTGTCCATTTGGATGCCGTCTGTCCCCTTCCCCATGCCTGCTGGCCGAACTGGTCTGGCGCGATCGGAGGAGCACTGCCACCCCTCCTCTCCGCGTCGGTTGGTCAGCCCGACTCTGACCTTCACGGAGAGCCCCGAAGCAACAGACTCTGGACCTTCAGAGTCACCTGCGGTGTTTTTCACATTTACTCATGCCCTCGAGGACCGGCGAAAATCGGAAAATAAAATAAAGTTCACATCGGTATCTGCGTCATATCATATGTTATTTTTTGCGGTAAATCTGCCGGACAGAATGGATAAGACGACCGAAGCTGCCTGGGCAACATGACCACGGCTTGTGTATGTGCGCAGTTCATCTTATTCTCGCCAATCGATATGTTGGGAGGTACAGAAAAGTTTTATACCAACCTGGCAACAGGGTTGGCTGATTTGGAAATACTGAGCTGAGCCTTTCAGATGCGAAGAGGTGATCGGTTTCATAGACATAATCCCACATAAAATTAGTGTGGACAATGGGCGATTGAAGAAACGAAATAAAAATTCAGGCATGCAGTCGATTATACTTTTTAAGCATTGAATAACCACACACGAGGACTAGCTATAGGATGGTGTTTTTCCACACTCATTGTAAAAACCGTCAGGTCTCAATCGGAAGGTTGTCTAATGCAAAAATTGTTTATTCGTTTGCCATCAAAGAAAGTCTGGCTAGTAGCAATGAGATAATACAAGTTTTTTTTAAGCTAACATTGTGCATCTCCTGGCTACTAAGTAAAAAGGGAAACGAATATGGCGGTCATGTGTATAATACGGTCGCAAATATAGGTTTCCCATTATACGTATGGGGTTGAAATAGAAATTGTGAACTCAATGTCCACCAGATGGCTACATCTTTCTGATGCCAACTCCCGGAATCAGGATTTGGGAAAGGTAAGGCACTTTATTCGGAATGCATGGAAGTGGGAAAACAAACGGCTTGACTCCTTCACTAAGTTCCTGATGTTGAAGACCTCCCAGCTTTCAAAGGAGGTGGGCGAATTGCTGAATAAATGGGCGAAATTAGAATAGTGTATGAAAATAAAATGACGATTTTCCCGGTATGGGAATTACACAACTATTACTGTCGGAATTTGCTGAAGACGGTACACCAGATAGACTATTCCTTAGCCAAAATGCTTTGCATTCTTTGAAGATTTCACCAGCGTGCGGCAGAGAATGGAGTTTCTATGACTAAATACGACAGTCAACAAGCTGAAATGAGGGAAATCGAGTGGAAAATCAAGTCCTGACAGTTGAATAGGGTTAGCGAGAGAAAGCATGAAGGACCGTCAAACATGAGGAGGCTTGATCAACTTTGAATTTGTTTAGGACTCTCTCTTACGTCCCATCACCTTTGCGTATTATGCACAAACAACACATAGTAAATGACTATAAATGTACACACTACAACGCGCCAAATTCGAGCTTCAAGTGATTTTGGTATGGAGACAGCTGTTTTGTTACAGCTAGATCCTCTTCACGTATCATCAGGTATAGATAATCTTAACGGTTCATTATGCTTGTTAAGGAGCTAGTGAAATTGAGAAAAGAATGGTTACACATTCAAGGTGAATACATTTCATATTCACGGCAAGAGAGACAAAAGCTAAGTATGCTCAACTTGGGCATCGCAACACGAAGGCCTTCTTCCTTCAGTTTTTGATAGAGCCAACATACAAAACCCTTCAGGCCCGCTTTCGAAACGAACTGAATGTTCGTTCAGGCCAGCAATGAATCAGGAACGTAAACCGGTTTATCTATACAAGTTATGAAAACTCCAAAAACCTATTACGAGATTCCTGTGCATTCATATATATATATATATATACTATTAAATTTGTAGAGCTTACTTCCATTTTAAGTGGAAATGTTGGGTGAAGAGATTCGAAGGTCGGTTCCACCAGAAAACGACGGCGGATTCTTCTTGACCAGCTGTCGATTGGCTTTACTCTTTCCGAGGCAATCTCGTTCGATTCCGGTGAAAAGGTGCTAAGCTTTCGTGCGTCATATGATGGACATCTTCAGAGCGAGGTTACATCGTCACAACAAAATTCAAACTAACGAGTCAAGAAAACTTACCGGCA